CGAGGCCGCCGCGGAGAAGCGCCTGGGCGAACTTCAGCGGGGCCTCGTCCACGTCCTCGGGCTCGAGCCCCCAGAGCCACGCCTCCCAGGCCCGCCCGGGGTCCGCGGGGTCGTCCGGGGCGTCCTCGGGCTCCGCCGGGCGCGGGCGGGTAAAGCGGCCCCACAACTTCTCCAACATTCGCCGATCGCGAGGGGGTAACTCGCGCGAGGGGCGGGCCTCGGCGAGGACCTCGCGCAGCCGCCCCAACATCGCCTGCAGCCACCGCCGCCGAGGGCCGTCGGGGGGGCGAAGGCGCGCCGCCGCGTCCTCGACCTGCGCGCAAAACCGCAGCACCCCAAAAAACAGCGCCGACAGCGCGTCAAGCCCGATGGTGTTGTGCGAATTCACCGCGGCCTCGGCGGCGGGGCCGGCACTCGCGGCCTCCGCGAGCCGCCGCTCGCACACCACCCGGCCCGCCTCGACGACGATCGCGCGAAAAGCCTCGGAGCCCGGGCCCTCGCCGGGGGATCCCCCCGGGGCCGCCGCCGGCGTTGGCGAAAACAGAAGTCCGTCGAGGAAGTCTTGGGCCTCCGAGGCCTCGTCGGACGCGGCCCCCCGCGCGTAGTACCCGCGAGGGCGCTCCACCCGCGACGCGACGGCGGCGCTCGCGGGGAAGGCCATCCCGCACACCGCCCCCTCGGACGCCCGCCCGGCGGCGTAGTCCAGCCCCAGCGCCCGCAGCGGGGGCAGGAAAAAGGCCGCCAGGCCGTAGCGACGCCGCCGGACGATGTAGTCCCGCAGCGAATCCAACAACGCGGCCGGGGAGCACGAAAGGGCGGCGTGGACAAGGGCATCGGGGGCAGCCGCGGCGCGGCTCCGCAGCAGGCGGAACATAAACACTTCACTCATCGCGGCCGCGGTGGGGTCCACGGCGGGCGGGTGGTTTAACAACTGCGCGATCGCCTGGTCTAGGGCCGCGCGAAGATACCGCGCGAGGGTCTTTTCCTCCCCCGCCAGGACTTCCTCCCCGAGGGCAAAAGGGGGGGTGGCGGCCGCCCCCGAGCGGAGCCGCGCGCGAAGGGCGGCGAACCAAAACCCAAGGCCTTTTTCAACCCCTTCAAAGGCCAGGTCGAGCCGCGCGAAAGCCCCGTGGGGATGGCTATGATGGATCGGGGGTTGCGGCGACGAATCGCGCTCGAGGGGCTCGGAGAGGATGGGGTCGGCCGCGCACTGCCGAGCCACGGCGCTCGCGGCGAGGGCGAGGCCGAGAATTCGCTGCAGCGTCGCGACCGGCTGCTGGGCCAGGCCGAAGGCCAGGACAGGGATTAACTCCTCCTCTTTTTCCTCCACGGATGAGGAAAAAGGGGCCATCTTCTCCGCCAGGTAGACGGGAAAGAGGTGGGCCAGGCGGGCCTGGCAGACCTCGTGGAAGCCGGGGTCAACCCCGGCCGACGACGACGACGACGACGTCGGCAGCCCCAGGCTGAGCTGGGAAAGACATCGACGGTAGGCCGCGTCGTCCTCGTCGTCGGGGTTAAGCCGCGTCGCAGGTTCGACCTCGGCGATAGCAGGGGAAGCCCCCGAGAAGGCGAAAAACTCCGTCGTGAGGAGTTTCGTATAGAGAGGAAGCAGCAGGCTGCTCTCGGCGTACCACGCCAGCCCCCTGGCGATCCCCACACAAGCCCCTCTGAACTCCCCAAAGGCCTCCTCCAGACGGGATTGAAAGGGCGCGGGGGCGCGGGGATTGTCGGGGTCGGGCGGGCCATCCAAAGGGGGGAATGCGCGGGCTTTTTCGTACAGGCGGCGGGAGGTGGGGAACCAGGCTTGGAAAGCCCCCAGCAGGCGGGCTGCGCTTGGGAAGTCGATAAAACAGACCAGCGAACGCATCGCCGTGAAGGCCGGCAGGGGGTCCCGCGGCCCCGCAGGCGCGGGGTGGTTGGAGGGGGGCGAATCCCGCATTTCGCCCATCACCCGAAGCAGCTGAGCGGCCGCGGTGAAGTACTGGAGGATGTCTACGCCCTCGTCGGGGGTTGTTTCCCCCGCCCGCGCGAGCAATTCGCCCGCGCGGAGGGCGAATTGCGAGAGGGCGTGGAGGCACTCGGCGCGGGCGGCCTCGCTTAGGTCGCTCAGCCGGTGCGCCCATTCCATCCGGCAGAGTCGGAGCTCCTCGCGCAGGAAATCCCCGACGACGCGGCGGAGAAGACAAAGCACCGCGGCGGGAATCGCATCCGCGGCGAGCGAGCCCGGGGCGGGGCGAAGCGCCGGAAGAAACCCCCCCGCCCACCGCGCGCGCCGCGCTCTCGGATTCCCCTCGTTCTCCCTCGCCTCTTCATTTTCCGCCTGCCGGTCCGTTTTCGATTCGGCCAAACTCAGCGACGTCGTCGTCGTCGTGGCGGGGGAGGTGGGGAGATCGTCCGCCGGAAAGCACATCTCTCGCAGTAAACCATCCAAACAAATTTCCGCGAGCCGCTCCTCCCGCGCGTTCCCCTCCTTTGCGTCTTTTTTCTCTTCCGTGACGTCCACCAGGCCTGAGAGAACCGCACGGAGGAAACTCACGTACACCTGCCGCTGGAGGGACTCTAATTTTTGCCGCGTTTCCGCCACGAGGGCGTTGGTTTCTCGCCAAGCAAGCGTATTTAACGCGGCAGAGGAAGCAGAAGAGGGAGGAAGGCTGCTATTCGGGGGATTGTGTCCGACAAGGGCCTCCTCGTCCTGCTGGCGTTCCGCTTTTTCGCCCTCCATCCAGCCGCGGTGCATCTCCTTGCGGAGTTGAACCAACCCCGCCGCGAGCTCCTCCGCCTCCTCGAGGAAGGTCTGCTGAATTAAATTTCGCGATCCCTTCGAGGAATTATCCATTTCGGAGGAAAAGCGCGCGAGAACCGTCAGGAATTGCACGCGCGCGAGCTGCGAGATTCGTTTTAGGCATCCGCCAACCGCCTCGGCGGCCGTAATATCGGGCGGCGCGGCCTCCTCCAGAAGTTTGCCATGCGTCCACCAATAGCCATAATCCTCCTTCGCATTACAAGGGCTATTATTATTATTAGTAGTATTAGTATTATGGGAAATCGCGGTCAAAGGATTAGCCGCTTCCCCTTCGCTAGAAACAAGTAAGGGGCTTGAGGATGCGTCCTCAGGATTCCCCAGGATGCGCGTCTCCATTGGTAGGGAAGAAGAGCAAAAATCTAAGTTGAAAGAACTAAAAGGGATACCTTTTTTTTTCCGTATTCTTGTTTTGAAGTGAATGAGAGATGGTAGCAACGTGGTGTGAAGCTTGCGATGAGTATAAAAGTAGAGAAATATGTTATCGTAGAATCAAACAAACCAAGTGATCGATTCCCATTGCGTTGATGTATTATTGGCCTTTTAGTTTTAAACAACTCTGTGGTTCCATCATTTTGTCATTGAAAAGTGGAAGACTGTCTTATTCATAAATAGGCAACATCCTTCATTTTTGTGTGCATATCTCCAAATAAGTTACATCTGTTTATCTAACCTATTCTTAATATTTTTTGTGGCCCATTTCTTGGAGTTGTACATATCGTGATATTACCGCGAGATGATGAAAACCAATGTCGGTATGTGCAATCGTACAGCTACGTGCATAACGAACTGGAGAAGAGGGTAGTGAAAAGGGAGTGATTGAAGGAGAAGGCTCCATCAAAAAGGTAAATTTTTTTTTTTTTAAAGAAGCGCTAGCGGTCTAACAGAGAGAAGAGAGGACGCAGTTCATATGCAATTCTCCTTCCTCTCATCTGAAATACTAAAACACACACACACGTTTTTAACTCGTATGGCATCACAATGTCTATATGATTTATCATCCATTACTAAAGTGCTATCATATTTTGTACCCATAAATTTCCATTCTTTATCCTCTGACAGGATAAAGGAGTCGACTTCTTTTTTCAATTCATTTTCCCTCTCATTTACTTTGTTCACCATGTTGTTAATTGTGGAAAGGGGTTAGGCATGCAAGGAGGATAAGACAAAGGAAGAGGAAAGGTAGTGATCCTCCCAAGATTCCCTCTTGATAGATAGGTAGGTTTTTCATATCCAATGGTTCCTTTTCGCATTCGAAAGTATCGTTCCCATGGCTGCTGCCTAAGAAAAAAAAAATCAAGAACAGCGGTAGTACAACTTCTTAATAGTACTTCCTAGAAAACTATTTCCTATTACGTATTCTCTACCCATCAATTTCATCTCCCGAGGGTATTTAGTCAGAATCATTTCTTAAACCAAGCGATAAAATCCAAGCTCGTGTTTTTCTATTTTCATATAGTGTGTGAGGTGTGAAAATGGAGGAGCGACATGTAGAGAGGTAGATTATATGGTTTATTTTTGTTACCCACTTCCTTCCTGTTGAAGGCAATGTCATCTGAAGGATCAACCTAATTCGCAGTTAGCCGAAACATTCCAATTTAGGTAAAATCACCACCACCACCCCCAAAACGCTTGTCGATAACTTCATACAACAACCATAATAATAATAAGAGCAGATTACCATGTCTTTTAAAGGCATCTTTTTCCCTTTTGTCATCGCCTTTCCTTAGAACCTTGCTGATCCAAATGATCGACCCCGTGAGCCCATTCCGCCCCCTTGTTCACGGCTGAACCTTCCCCTTTCTCGCCCACCGCGTTCGTGTTCGCGTTCGCGCGGATCAGAACGTCCTCGTGAATCGCCGCGTCCGCGTCCGCGTCCGCGTCCCTGTCCTCGTCCCCGTCCTCTTCCCCTTTCATAAGGTCCGTCGTTGCGGGAATCCAGACCGAGGATGGACTGCATTGTCTCGCGCTGGATGTTGCGCACGGCGTAGCGCTGGATGGCGAGGGGGCTGGCGGCGACGAAAAGGACCCCGTCCGTGGGTCTTTCCCGCACCACGAAGAGGTGCCGCCGCGCGCGGAGAAAGGCCCCGAGCCCGCCGGACCTCTCGCTCACCGCTTCCTGAATCTCAACGTCGAGCTGGGCGTGGAGGGACTTCACGGAGATCGCGGCGGCCCCGGCCGGGAGGGCGGCGAAGAGCGCCGTGAGGACGATGTCGTCATCATTCATCGCGTTGCGGGTGCCCGGGCTGAGTACGCCGTCCCCCGTCAGGTTAGGGCGCAGGACCATGGAGGGGGCGTCCGAAGACAGCCGGGACGGCATCTGCTTATCACGAAAGTTGGGCCTATTATGTGACTGGGAATTCCCGTCACGGGAGTACGACCTGTTGTGTGACTGGGAATTCCCGTCACGGGAGTACGACCTGTTGTGTGACTGGGAATTCCCGTCACGGGAGTATGACCTGTTGTGTGACTGGGAATTCCCGTCACGAGGAGGGGGCCTAGGGTGGAAATGGGAATAGGAGTTCGCGTTACAAGGGAAAGGCCTCATGTGTGACTGAAAATGGGAGTTTCGGTCACGGGGAAAAGGCCTTAGGTGTAACTGAGAATGGGAGTTTGTGTCACGGGGAAAAGGCCTATTGTGAGAATGGGAGTTCCCGTCACCCGTGGGGGAGGCCAGGAAGCGTCGTGCGACGCAGCCATTGGGGGCCCTTCCCACGCGGAAAAGACGCGATAACGAGCGCATGCGTAACGATACTAATAAGGGAAGAAATGTCACCGCACACACAGAGGAGTCAGAGGGGGTGGGGAATTCTTCTACCTTTCGGTTTGGTACTTTCTTTTAATGTGCTCTTTTTTTTTGTGAGTGTTGGTTGTTGTTGTGTGTGTTCCTCATGAAAGCTGCACAGTCTCATAGATGGGAGAAAAAAGAAAAGTAATCCATCTACAATCACTAAGTGTAGTTTTGATGGAATATTTCCATTCAGAGTTTGCCAGCTGGTAATTGTATTAAGATCTCCACAAAAGAGCAAACGGTAAAAGAAAAAAGCATATAATTTCTGATAATCTTGAATAAATATGTATTGGCCGCTCTGAAGTACGTGAAAACATTAGGGGGCTCCTCTTTAAACCATATACAGAATCATAACACACATTAATTTTACATTGTAAATGAAGAGCACAATATACTCAGTGATTTAACTGGAAGTAATTATAAGGGAAAGCAAATCATATATAGAATACTCAAATTTTAATATCTAAAAGCAGGAAAGCAAACAAGTTTTTGAAAAAAATAAGTGATCATATAACCGGTTAAAATCTTAAACCTATAGGGAGTGATGTTCGTTTAATTATGACACAGACAAGTGGATAGCGTTTTTAAGGGTCAATAGCTAACAAGTACCACATTTTAATCCCATTTTAGGGTTAAAGCAAAACATAAAAAGTAATCATCACTCTTTACAAAAAAAAAAGAGTGAAAAAAGTAAGAAAATATTGACTATGAAAAGGCGTAGACATCAGTAAAGTAATTTAATAAATGTACAACGCGGAATATTACATTGATTTAGTTTTGCTATGTATGCATACACGGATATACATGGTTAAATTGACATCTTAGCAAACAAATATGTGTAAAGGGGAAAATAACCTATTCAAACCAATCTTCTCGGAAAAAATGAGTTCTTTATTAAATAAATAAATATGCTGAACAATTTTCCAAATAAGGTAATGTATGCCCTTAAGTCCAATAAATTAGTAAAAGCTATGACAAACACAAAGCCTATCTACATGCCTGAAATTTGGCATTTTTTCTTTCCACAACCTCTTTTTTTAATTTCACTTTCTTCTTTGATCCTTGGTTATCTTTTTCTTAGATTCGGTGGTGCGCTTTGGATCGTATTTTTTCTAACTTATAGCGATTGGACGAGGGGATACCTTCTATTGTGCTTGTATAGCCAATCGGGCAACCTGCGATAAAGTCTTCAGTCTCAAGAGGGTACACGATAATTTCTACCAATTTTTGCCCATTTTCCAAAAGTGTTAAGGTGGCGTTATGCAAGGCCTCGATATAACTATCAGAGCTGAAAAAATAGCGAATATGGAATTCATATTCTTTAGTGTCGTTGTAAAAGGACCAGCGATCTCCACCATCGTACAAGATGCGAAAAAGAAGCCCGTTTTCTATTTTAGGAAATACCTTGATTGCTTTAATCGGCGTATCAATTGGTCCACCGTACTTCCACACAATATCTTCGGATGCAGAGAAGGTAGAGTACCCACACCCCATTTTGTTTTCTACAACTTGAGTAAAATTGCTGCTTGGAAAAGTGAAATAGTGTGAAGGAAAAGATTGTAGATACATAAACCAATAAGAAATATATGTAAAGAAAAACCTATCATGAGTGCATGTGCACACACAGACATATATATATATATATATATCATTCTCTCTTTTTTTTTCTATTACCGCACCTTTTTTTGATTCCCATTTTGTATACTATTTATGTTTTTTTCCCTTTATGCACCCTAATGGCACTCTTTTAGAGGCTGAATCTCTATCACCATCGGGGTCTGCTCGGAAGGGCCTTGCAAAAGCACGAAAAGGGCCTCTCCGAGCTGCTCAAGTCTTGCACCGATGCCATCGATGATATTATTCATTCGAGTCAGATCCGAAGCTTCGCGAGAGAGTGATAGTTGTCGAAAATCCTCCGCTGTCATTCCAACCAATTCCCGCAGACAGCTATGTCCGAGATCCACAGTAAGGCCTCCTGCTTCTCCCTCCCCCTCTACTGTTAGTTCGCTTCTATTTTCCTCATTTTCATTTTCTCGTCTTTGACTTTTCTCTCGCAAAGGGGGAGGGGCGAGGGAGACGAGGAGTGAGTACGCACAGCGTGTTTTTGGATTTTCTCGTTCACTTCCATTTCCTCTTCTCCTTACCCTTTCATTTTTATTTGTTGTGGAGTATTCGTTGATCAGGAGATCCGAAACCACAGCGGTGATGACGGCACGTGTGGGGAATGGCGCGTGGGGGTCGTTTCGACTATTCCACCGAGTGAGCGGCTGACAGAGCGGCAAAGAAGAAGAAATCATCTGAGAAGGGGAGGGAATAGCTGCAGAAAGGGAAGAGGAAATAGGGGGAATAGGAAGAGAAGAAGATAACGAAGTAGGGGGCTGCTGTGGATTCGGCTCCACCGCGGTAATGTGCGATAAAGCAGGGGAAGAGGGGGATAACGAAGTAGAAAGAGAAGGGCGGCCGGTGAGCGCATAGAGCTGCTCGCGGGCGTAGGTTGCCCAGAAAAGTTCCAGCGCGATCACGCGGCCACCGAGGTAAATTGTTTTTTCCGGATGAAGACCTAATATGCCGCGTGTCTGCAAAGGGACCTCTTTCTTCCAGTCCAAAAGAATCTTGATCTTCGCGCCGAGGGCAACCCCTTCGGGAAAAAGCGGTGGTGGTGATGATGATAATTGGTTTATTCCGGCATTTTTCCCTGCCTTTTTTTCCACCGCGAGTACGCGTGTAAAGCCGTCGGTAAGAATGAGCCGCAGTAGACGATACCGTCCATTCCTTCCTCCTCCCCCCCCTCGCCTGGCGTCGTTTATTGCTTCTGACATTTTCAACGTCGCGTCGACGAGCGCCGCGGTGTTTTCTTTATCGTCGTCCTCATTTTCGTCTTCTTTCGCACCCTCCGGTGCGGTCGTCGCGGCGCTCGTATAGCCAATCCCCTCAACTTGTGAGCCGCCCGGATCGATGGCCTCGAGTATCCCCCGCAGCTGCTGTTCTCGTGAAAGGGAAATATCCACAATGTTTTGCACCTGCAGGATCATAAACTTCTCCTCCGTGCGCGTTGGGGCGCGTTGGATTACCGAAATATCCTCGCCCAGGACCTCCCCCTCGAGCGGGCTGCTCTTGGGCAGCACGGGGCGTAGTGGCGAGGCGTCCGGCCCCGCCGCGGCGAGCTCCTCCAGGTCCATCTCGAGGTGGGTTTGAATAAACCGCGCCGAGGCCTCACTGGTGGGGGTGTAGCGGGACATTTTATGTTACACTATGTGTGTGGTCCTTTTCTTACCAGACAAACCCGTCTTCAGAAGAGTAACAGAAAAGCAGCAACTTTAACAAGCACGTCTGTCACCCTGGACGGATGAATTGAAAAGGGAGGGGAGGGGGGGGGTCTCTTGGGCTGTCCCAAAGAACCTCCTCCCTTTTCCCTTCCCAATCAGTGGATTCTGTGTGACAAGAAAAAAAAAATTAGTAAATTAGAATTGAATAAAAGGCGTCTGTATAAAGGGGTGAAAATAAAAGATGACAAAGAAAGACTCATCAAGGAGACAATGAAAAGTGTTTGTGGGAAAAAAAAATCGGAAACAGGTTGTTCGGATTTACCCTCCTAAATATTAAGTATATATCAAATTGTTCAGAGAGGAAAAAAAAGATGAACTTTGTAGAATCAAGATTTCTGAAGTTTCTTTCACTACTCTTACTTTCAGAATTTTATAAAGCTTGGCTTAGTATTTTTCGTTTAAAAGTTGAAATACATCATGCGCACATCAACTACCATCGACACACAGACAAATAAAAAACCATTATCGCTAATCCATGTTAATATAGATTCTTCCTTGTTTTTTAATTTTCACCTTAGAATACTATTTTTCCTCATTTCCCTCTTTTTTTTCATGAACCCTCGGAGGAGGGATCACAGCGTAGGCATATATTGGGATTCCTCTTGCTACTTCCATTTAAAGCGGGTCAGAGATATTAGTGCCTCTTTTGCAATTCGCCCGATATTGCTAGAATAGTATAGTTCCGTTAAAGGTTCAAATTCGATAAATCTGAAATATCAGACCTCACAAAGCATTAACACAGGTACTGTATATATTTATAAGATCATTACATCATAACACTGGCTCTACATTTAGTATCAATATGCTTAGTACTAAAATCAAACACCTCTCTACAAAACCTAAATTCATAAATATGCATCATTATATTTTTAGTGTGCGTCCATATTATTTAACTATTTGATCCTTGTTTTTCTTATTGAAAGCAATAATAATAATAAATCCGATAAAAAACATCACAACGTCGGCTGGTTTTCCTTTTTATAAGCCTTCTTCAATTCCTTTCTTTCCCATTTTTTATTTCAAGCGTGTATACATAGGAATTGATTAGAGAATAAAGGGGATAATAGCCTTCTTCTTCTTGTTCTTCAGATCCGTCTTGACGTATCCGCTGTGCTTTTTGAGCGCCCACGGCGCCATCTGGAGCAGGCCGGCGGCGGTAAAGAACCATGACGAGAGGATATTCGTTCCGACCGAAAAAGAAACCCATGACATCACTTCAAAGAAGTAATTTGGGCAGGAAACCAGCGCAAAAAGCGGCCCTTTCGGCACATCCCTCGTCTGGTCCCCATCGCTCTTCCGCATCTTGCTCAGCTGAAGATGCACCGCGAGGTTCAGCAGCTCAAAGACCACCATCATAAGCGCACTCAGGTTCACCTGCGTATTGCTCGGTGCGGTGTACTTCGGGTTGCACAACACATACCCAATGAAGGCCGCGAACGACCAATAATAAATCGAGTTCTTAAAAATATTGCGCAGCGGCATCGTCGAATGGCTGAACTTATGCACAAAAACGCTCTCCAGCTCCCGCTTCACGAAGTGCGCGACGAAGAGCGAGACGTACATCTTTTGTGCGTACCCGTAAGGGACGAACCGCATCTTGCTTCCGTAGATAAACGACGGCCGCATGGCGTAGAAGAGCATAAAGGCCAGCGGCCCCGCGTACTCCACGACGAAGACGGTGCGGTAGTCTACTTGCGGGCCGAGGTCCTTGTAGACGAGCTCGGCGCCCTCCCGCACCCCCATCTCCGTCAGGGGCCGCCGCCCCGTGAGGGTGACGAGGGCCGGCTTCGCGGCGCCCTCCTCCTGCCGCGTCGGAGAAGAGGGAGGAGGGGGGGGGAGCTTGAAGGACTTGCGGTGAGGGGACGAGC